CTCCTCCTCTTCCTCCTCCTCATCCTCCTCCCCCTCCTCCTCCTCCTCCTCCTCCTCCTCCTCCTCCTCCTCCTCCTCCTCCTCCTCCTCCTCCTCTGTCGCGCTCCAGAGGGGGCCCTCACCTTCGGCCCTGGGCGCGGTGCAAAGCGGCCCCTGGCGCGGTACAAGAAGCCCCGGGCGCGGTAAATGGCGGCCCTTGAGCGCGGCAGCATGCGGCCCCAGGCGCGGTACAAAAAGGCCCCCACCGCGGTACAAAACGGCCCCGGGCGCGGCACGGAACGACCTTGGGCGCGGTACAACACGGCCTTGGGCGCGGTGCCAGGAAGTTGGGTACACATGCCGCGGCCAGCTTGGGGGAGCGTTGGATACACCTGCGGCCAGGTGTTTGTCCGGCGCTCGGCCCATGTGCATCCAGCGCATGGCCGCCAGAATACAGCCATGCGTGTGTCCACTTTTCTGGTAGCGCGGCGACGGCTCCACCAGCGGACAGCGGCGGAAGTAAAAGTGAGACGTCGACATTGTTGGATTCGGGGTTTCCGAAATCTGCCATTTGGGGTTCGAGAACGGCTCGGCGGTCTAGGTCGCCCGCAGGGGGCATGCAAATAGCCGCGCTGCGCGCGTCGCGGTCTGGGTCGGATAGATGCGCTTCTCCACAGGGGCAGCCAGCGCAAAAGAAATCGCGCGCTGCGCATCGCGGGGCGCGACGCGCGCAGCTGGGTGACCTGCAGTCAGTGGACTGTGTTGCATTCAGTCAGTCCCTCTGCTTGAATGATGCCAGTTCGAGCAGGAGACGCACCCAAAAAACGCAGTTGGCGTTTCGGCATTCTTGATGCGGAGCGAGCTGATGCGACGCATCGCGAGCGTACGTACGCGCGCCACTTGAGCCAGGCAGGCTGCGGATGCATCAGAGCATGACGATTGTTTCTCCAAGACGGCCCCGACACATAAACATGGTCGTTATCATCCCACTCGCAGCAGCAGTTAGTCCACTGACTGCGGGGTCCTCCCCGCGGCCCTGCCATGGTGTTTTCCTCTGGCGCTCCTCAGGCACCTGGGCCTCGGCTTAGGGCCCGGAGAGGGGCCCCGCCTCCTCGTGCGGGGCTTCCCTTGTGGCAGAGCCTGAGCTGCACCCTTGCCCCCCCCTGCTGAGTGCGCGCAGGCTTCGAGTAGGAGATCGACTACAGGAGATCGCCCAAAATGGACGTGTTCGTGGCACCTTCGAAATACGCATTGTGCCTGCAGACTTGCGAGAAGGTTACGTGTTCTCTGTACTTGTCGTCGAGACAACGCATTGAGCGCTGCGGCGCTACACGCCCATCCCCTTAGTTGGGACAGCCTTCGCTGCAGTGGCGTTCGTTCGATCGCTGACGAATAAAAATGTGGGGTAATTCAATGATGTCGTCGATCTCCTACTCGAGGGATGGGCGTGCACCGCCGCCGTGCGCTCACCCCGCCACCCGCGGCTGCCGCCAGGAGAAGCTGGCCCAGACGGAGTTCAGCGCGGCCGCGCTCGGGACGCCGTGCGGGAGGGGGGGAGGCGAGCAGGCCCCCGCCGGCAGGCCCCCGGCGGTGGCCCGCAGGGGCGGAGGAGGAGGAGGAGGAAAAGGAGGAGGAGGAGGAGGAGGAAAAGGAGGAGGAAAAGATAGGAAAGGAGGCGTAGGAGAGAAAACAAATAAGAGGAGGAGGGGAGGAGGAAACGATGATAAAGAGGAGGATGCGGAGGAGGCGGAGGAGAGGAGGGGGGGGGGGGGAGGAGGAGAGGAGGGAGGAGGAGGAGGAGGATGAGGAGGGAGGCGGGGAGAGGAGGGGATGAGAGGAGGGGAGGAGGGGGAGGGGGGGGAGGCAAAGGGTAGAGGAGAGGAGGCGGAGGAGGAGGAGGAGGAAGAAGAAGGATGAGGAGGAGGAGGAGGAAACGAGAGGAAACGCGAGGAAAACGAGGAGGAAACAGGAGGGAGGAGGAGCAGGAGGAGATGAAAGGAGGGGAAGGAGGAAAACGAGTGAGGGGATGAGATGAAGTAAAAGGACGAGGAGGGATGACGGGAGAGGAGGAAAGGAAGGAGAGGAGGGGGGGAGTAGGAGGAGGGGAGGGGGGGAGGGGAGGAGGAGGAGGTGAGGAGGAGGAGGAGGATGGAGCAGGAGGAGAGGAGGAGGAGGGAGGAAGAGGAGGAGGATGAGGGGAGGAGGGGAGGAGGGGGAGGAAAAGGAGTAGGAGGGAAGGAGGAGGAAGAAGAGGAGGAGGAGGAGGAAAACGAGGAGGAAAAGGAGGCGGAAAAGGAGGAGGAAGAGGAGGAGGGAGGAGGAGCAGGGAGGAGGAGGAAAAGGAGGGGGAGGAGAAGGAGGAAAAGGAGTGAGGAGGAGGAGAAGGAAGAAAAGGACGAGGAAAGGGAGGAGGGGGAGGAGGAGGGAGGGGGACCCGGGCATCCGGGCCCGGGCATCCGGGCACCCGGGCATCCGGGCATCCAGACACGTTGGCACCCGAGCGGGGCCGGGCCTCAGGCACAGGCATCGCCCGGGCAGCTGGGCACCCGGGCATCTGGGCATCCGGGTACCCGGGCAAGGTCCGGGCACCCGGGCACGGGCCCGGGCATCCGGGCACCCGGCATCCAGACACGCTGGCACCCGAGCGTGGCCGGGCCTCAGGCACAGGCACCGCCCGGGCAGCTGGGCTCCGGGCATCCGGGCACCCGGGCACCCGGTCAAGTCCCGGGCACCCGGGCCCGGGCATCCGGGCACCCGGGCATCCGGGCATCTTGGCACACGGGCACCCGAGCGGAGCCCGGCCTCAGGCAGCCGGACACCCAGGCATCCGGGCACCCGGGCAAGGCCCCGGGCACGGGCCCGGGCATCCGGGCACCCGGGCATCGGGGCACTCCAGCAAACGGGCATTTGAGAGGGTCCAGGCTTCAGGCAGTTGGGCATGCGGCCATCGCCCGGGCACCCGGGCACCCGGGCACCCGGGCACGGCCCGGGCACCCGGGCACGGGCCCGGGCACCGTAAAATAGTCATATACCCAGTGGTGGACACCAAAGGGTTGCACAGCCTACTACGCAAGAGGGGCGGTTTCGTTGTCCGCAGACACGACGCCGTCTGGGACCTATTTGCAAACATGTTGGCCGAAATGTTGGGCACACCCGCGCGCTCCGAGCAGCATCCGCCTATCGGCGCCCCGACGTCGACGACGACGCCAAAAACCTCGCCCGCCAGCACTCGGGCATCATTGTCGTTACCCCGCGCGCGCGGGCCCTCCCGGGCAGCGCAGCCTTGCACCGTCAGGGCGCTCTGATTGAGCGAGAGGAAAGCTCCAAGAGACGGAAATACCACACATTGAGCCTCACGCCGGTGGTCATGTCACACTTAGGCCGGCTCGGCGGTGGCTGTCAGAGCGGCCTCAAGGGCCTCGCCTACGGTCTCATGAGCGCCACAGGTCGATTGCCATCGACGCCTGCTACCAGCGCTTAGCGGCAACCTTGCAGCGCGCCAACGTCGAACTGTTGGCGTCCGCGGCGACCCTGATCCCCTAGCTCTTGGGCCCGCTCGTCTTCCTCCCCCCTCTCCGCTCTCCCTTCGCCTGGGCCCCGCCTGACTGCAGTGCCACCGCGCCTTTTTTTGCCCCCCCCCTCCCTTCCCCTCTTCTCCCCCGCTCCTTGCCTCCGGCGGGCGCGCGAGCGCCTAAGGGGGGGTCCAGTGGCTCACACCTCCCCCTCCTCCGCGTTCCGGTTCCCTCCTCCTGCCCCCTCCTCCCTCCCCCCTCCCCCGGGTCGTTTTTTTTCGGGGCGTGTCCTGTCGCCGGCGCCCAGGCGGGCTGTCGCCCCCCGCCCGGCGCCGGAAAAAAAACAAAAAAAAAAAAAAAAAAAAAAAACGGATGGAACACACACCCGTGGAGTGAGGGTTTTTTGATAGCATTGTGGTTAATTGCTCGGCGTGGCGCGCATGATTATCCTCGCGCTTGACGCCAGTGGACACACGTCCTAAGGGTGGACGGGCGTTGGGGTCGCGGCAGCAGCAGGATGATAAGGAGAGGAGGAAAGGAGGAGGAAGAAGAGGAAAGGAGGAGGAGGAGGAGGGGGAGCGCGAGGAGGAGGGGAGGAGGTAGGAGGACGAGGTGGAGGAGGAGGAGGAGAGGGAGGAGGAGGAGGAGTAGGAAAGAGGAGGACAGGGAAGGGGAGGAGAAAACGAGGAGAAAGAGGGAGGAGGAGGAGACGATGATGAGAGGAGGAGTGGGAGGAGGAGGAGGAGGAGGAGGAACAGGAGGAGGAGGAGGAAGCATGCTCTTAGTTTGCGTTGTGCCGTCGTAGGCTATTATTGTTGCACCACCGCCGTTTGCCATGATCTTCTATGTGCACACATGTGTTACATGCTGATGTAGGACTACGGACACCGATGCGGCGACACCGCCGTTATGTTCGACAGAGGTTATATGTAGATCACGGCATGTGGCACACGCTGCAGCGGGAACATGTGTGTCGTTGATGCCGAAATACGGCCACCTTTGCGACTAGAGCGTCGTCCCTTGGGACAGAAGATCGACGGAAATCTGTTAATGTGGCAAACCTTCAATCAGAGGCAACCACCTTCACCGATGCAAGAGTACGGCCAGCGATTTTGCGAGAGCGTCGATAGATTGGACGTACGTTATCTGCATATTCTCTGGATATCACTGAATATACCAAACGCTGCAGCAGGATCGTGACTTTTGAAAAGCCGAGAACGCTATGATGGAAAGTCAGATCGAGAGCCAGCTCGAGACAATCCTGAACAGCATACAATATAACTAGGCCGGGGCAAAAAGTATCCCGGCAAAGCAACCTAACAGCGATGTGTAGAAGCATATCTGGAAGCATTCCCCTTAAGATTTGAATGAGAATCCCGTTGTAGAATTCTGCTGTTCTCGCAGTCGCAGCCTCAGCCTGCCTCGGCTTGCCTCAGCCTCAGCCTCAGCCTGCCTCGGCCTCAGCCTCAGCCTCAGCCTGCCTAGCCTCAGCCTCAGCCTGCCTCAGCCTCAGCCTGCATCAGCCTCAGCCTCAGCCTGCCTCTGCCGCAGCTTGCCTCAGCCACAGCCTCAGCCTCAGCCTCAGCCTCAGCCTGCCTCAGCTTCAGCCTCAGCCTCAGCCTGCCTCGGCCTCAGCCTCAGCCTCAGCCTGCCTCAGCCTCAGCCTCAGCCTGCCTCAGCCTCAGCCTGCATCAGCCTCAGCCACAGCCTCAGCCTCAGCCGCAGCTTGCCTCAGCCTCAGCCACAGCCTGCCTCGGCTTGCTTCAGCCTCAGCCTCAGCCTGCCTCGGCCTCAGCCTCAGCCTCAGCCTGCCTCAACCTCAGCGTCAGCCTCTCAGCAGCCTCAGCCTCAGCCTGCCTCAGCCTCAGCCTCAGCCTCAGCCGCAACTTGCTTCAGCCACAGCCTCAGCCTCAGCCTCAGCCTGCCTCAGCTTCAGCCTCAGCCTGCCTGGGCTTGCCTCGGCCTCAGCCTCAGCCTGCCTCGGCCTCAGCCTCAGCCTCAGCCTGCCACAGCCTCAGCCTCAGCCTGCCTCAGCCTCAGCCTGCATCAGCCTCAGCCTCAGCCTGCCTCAGCCGCAGCTTGCCTCAGCCACAGCCTCAGCCTCAGCCTCAGCCTGCCTCAGCTTCAGCCTCAGCCTCAGCCTGCCTCGGCTTGCCTCAGCCTCAGCCTCAGCCTGCCTCGGCCTCAGCCTCAGCCTCAGCCTGCCTCAGCCTCATCCTCAGCCTCAGCCTCAGCCTGCATCCGCCTCAGCCTCAGCCTGCCTCAACCGCAGCTTGCCTCAGCCTCAGCCTCAGCCTCAGCCTCAGCCTCAGCCAGGCTCAGTCTCAGCCTGCCTCAGCCTCAGCCTGCCTCAGCCTCAGCCTCACAGTTGGCTCCGGGCAATCAACATGTAGCCTGGGAATGGTGTTCTGGGAACACGAAGAACACGAAGTGGCCTACAGTTGATTCCGGGCAGTCAAAATGTGGCCCGGGAATGGTGTTCTGGGAGCACGAAGAACACGAAGTGGCCTACGGTTGATTCCGGGCAGTCAAAATGTGGCCCGGGAATGGAGTTCTGGGAACTCGAAGAACACGAAGTGGCCTACAGTTGATTCCGGGCAGTCAAAATGTGGCCCGGGAATGGAGTTCTGGGAACTCGAAGAACACGAAGTGGCCTACAGTTGATTCCAGGCATTCAGAATGTGGCCCGGGAATGGAGTTCTGGGACCTCGAAGACTACGAAATGTGTAACTGCTGGCTAAAAAAAATCCCCGGCACTCCCCCGGATCGCGCCCAGACCCCTTTGGGGCGTCATGATGCTTTCTTTTGACCCTACTAGAAACCTATCAGTCTTCGCTGTTAGGTAAAAACATGTGAGAGAGGCGAGCAGCACTCCGATTGTGCAGCTATACAGGAGGAGGCGGAAACGGAAGATGAGGAGGAGGAGAAGGAGGAGGAGGAGGAGGAGGAGGGGAGAGAGAGAGAGAGAGAGACCTCCCCTCTTCCTCTGTCCATCCTCCACACCTTCATCCTCCTCCATCTCCACCCCCCTTCTGCTCCATCCCCCTCAACCTCATCCTCGCCCACATTCTCCCCCGTCTCCCCTTCCCGGCCCTTCCCCTCCCTCCCTCACCCATTCTCTCCCCTATATTCCCTCCCGCTCTCACCACCATTTCTCCCATCGCTCCCCCCTTTCCCCCCTCCTTCCCCTCCCACCCTCCCGCCCAGACCCCGCGCCTGGCCCGCAGGAACCTGCGCTCCATTGTGCAGCAGACCGGAGCGTGCATCGTCCTCTCCTCCGAGTGGAGGCGCACCGAGTCGATGAAGAACTCGATAGGCCTCCCGCTGGTGAGCGGGTCGGGCTCATTCCTGAGCACTCTCGGAGCGCTCCTCCCAGACCTTTCTCACGTCGCACGTTGTGAAAATACACGGCGGCACCTGTTTCTTACTCTGGGGGCCCTACTAAGCCCCAGGACCATCAAAGAAGAAAACGGTCAAAATTTGTGGGGGTCACTTGGTGGAAAAAATACGACGTCTTTGGTCTGGGCTTGGCGCTCTCCGTTTGCAGCCGCACTTGGGCTCTCAGACATTCTGAGGCCTGGGGTTCTGCGGGGCCTTCCTGGATAGTTCTGGGCTGGTATAACACGCTTGGCGTCCCGCGGCCTTGCTGGAAGACTCTCGGCGCCTCTTTCGTGGTTCTTTCAAGTCTTCGGGTGCCTCCTAGAGACATATTGGGGCGCCTCTGTGCCGTCTTTCAGATATAGCCAAGACCCTGGGCAAGGGGAGTTGTTCAGTGATTTGGCCCCGAAGCCCAAAACACTAGCCAGAATCACTAAGTCAATTTGCCGTAGTTTGTGTTTCTTCGGGTGACGGCAGTTCCAGTTAGTGGAATGGGGCGGGGGGTCGTCTGCACATTTCATTAAACAAGGTCCAACTAAAGCCAGTCCCGCCAACGCCAGCGTAGTAACCCCCGTTTGGGGGAGCAGAATTTGGCCGCGGCTGTCTAGGCGGGTACGCGTCAGCAGGGGGGTCGCCCTTGGAAAACAGTAGAACACCTACAATACATATGACAGGCATTGCAGCACGCCCAACGGGCCGAGGGCACGGTGGCAGACATACGGAACGCAGTGCAAATGTCGTCTGCTTGCCTGTCTGTCTGTGTGTCTGCCGCTCCCTCTCTCTTTCTCTCTCTCTCTCTCTCTCTCTCTCTCTCTCTCTCTCTATGTATATATATGTGAAGACCTATGCATATGAATATGTATGTATGTGTGTGTCTCTCTACCTATCTCTCTCTCTCTCTCTCTCTCTCTCCCTCTCTCTTCATACATATATATACATATATATAGGTGTATGTGTCTGTATGTCCCTATCTCGCCATCCCTCTCCCTCTCCCTCTGTCTTTTTGTCTCTCTCTCTCTCTCGTTCTCTCCTTCTCTCTCTCTCTCTCTCTCTCTTTCTCGCTCTGTCTCTCTCCCTCTCTCTCCCGCTCTGTATATTGTATAGTCCTCTCTCTCTATCCGTCTCTCTCTCTCTCTCTCTCTCTAGTTCTCTCTCTCTCTCTCTCTTTGTTTCTCTCTCTCTCTCTCTTTCTCCCTCCTTCCCTCTCTCTCTCTGTCTCTCCCTCTCTCTATCTCTCTCTCTCTCTCTCTCTCTCTCTCTCTTTCATTCCCCAAACCATGCTTGCGTATAGAGAATCCTATGTGTGTCTCTAAGGAGTTGGATGGGCCCGGCGAGGTTTCACCACGTTGCCGCCCGTGGCCGCCTCGTGCGTGTTACACTACATTAGCTTCACACCACATAGATTGCACCAATAGCTTACATGTTTTAAGCTCATGCCACATAGAAGTGCACCATGTAGCTCACACAGCATAGATCAGCGTACCACAGGCCCACATCACGCATATTCTTTATACATGCATATATGTTTGAAAAAGTTCACAACCCTCCTCCCCCCTGGACTTAAACGGCCCCCTGGGGTTACTGCAATTTTACGATGGCTTCTGCCTCACGTCATTTCCCCATTAGAAAAAACCATACCATCCCAGGAGATGATATTAGCCCATTGTCGTCAAAGAATTGCTTTTTTATTTTTTATTATTCTTTATGTTTATCTTTTTTATAGTTTTAATAGATTTTTATTTTTTATTTATCTTTTTTATTTTTTTTTTTTTTATTTTTTTTATGGCGCGCACTCGTTTCTCTCAAAAGATCATGTTGCAAGAGCCCTGCAAAATATACCACGGAGCTCATATGTGCGTGCACATGCCGAAGTCATTATCATTAGTTTTACAGGTACGTGCTATTTATATATCGTCCAGAACCCGCGCCCTCATCTCACCACTCAGTGCATCTGCGTAGTTCCAGCATGTGCCCAGTGCACGAACCCGTGTCAAATAGTTCCATGCGGGCCATTTGTGCGCGCCGCCACGCCCGCGTGTCGAAATCCTTCCAAGACCAGTGGTGTCGGAAGCATTCCAAGGTAGAGCTCTTCAGAACAAGTGGAAAACCAAATATTGCCATCAAATAGTACATGAGGTGCCTTGACTTCTGAGCGCGTATTTCCTCACCATCATTTTTTTCACCGCAACCGCATCACCGCTGCGACCGTCATCGTCAATCGCCGCCATTGCAGCCATCACCACCCAAACAGTTTCATTGCCGACACATGGACATCATTATCGTCATCGTCGTCGCCACCAGCATCGGTACCGTCATTCGTTGCCGCCGTTATCGATGTCACCATGACATCGCACCCGCCCGACTCACCGACCCGTTGCCTTGAAGCAATCGCGCGCCAGCGCGGCTTTTGAAACGCGCTTGGACGTTCCAAACGGTAAGCGCCATCGCGGCCGAATAAGTTATTTGTTCCACTTGTTCCTCCTCCTCCCCCATCGCTCTCCTCTCGGCCCTCTCCTCTCGCATCCGTGTAAGGGGCTGCGAAGTGTGAAATTGTCGCTACGTTCGAGGGCTGCTGTGGGAGCCAACACATTGGGGCCGCACACAGATCCGAATGGGACCTAGCCATCCCTGGGGGGGGTGTGCGAAGTGTGAAACGGTCGCCATGTTCGGTTGCTTGGAGGGGGCCAGCACAGCGGGGTCCCACGCAGATCCAAACGGGACTTCGCCATCGTTGGGGGGGGGTGCGAAGTGTGAAATTGCCGCCACGTTCGAGAGTTGCTGGGGGATCCAGCACAGTGGGGGCCCCACGCAGATCCAAACTGTACCTCGCCATCCGTGGGGGAGGATTGCGAAGTGTGATGTTACCGCAACGTTCGAGAGTTGTTTGGGGAGCCAGCACAGTAGGGACCCACGCAGGTACAAACGGGACCTCGCCATCCTTGGGGGGATTGCGAAGTGTGAAAGTATCGCCACGTTCGAGGGCTGCTGGGAGGGCAGCACGTTGGGGCCCCACGCAGATACAATTTGGGCCCCGCCATCCTTGGGGAGGTTGCGAGGTGTGAAATTGCCGCCACGTTTGAGGGTTGCTGGCGGGGGGGAAGCACAGTGGGGCCCCACGCAGATCCAAACGGGTCCTCGCCATCCTTGAATGGGGGCGTTGCGAAGTGCGTACTTGTCGCCACGTTTGAGGCTTGTTGAGCGTGGCAACGCAGTGGGGTGCCACGCAGATCCAAACAGTACCTCGCCATTCCCTGGGGTTGCGAAGTGTGAAAGTGTTGTCACGTTCGATGGCTGCTGGGCGGGGCAGCAGAGTGGGGCCCCACGCAGATCCAAACGGGACCTCGCCATCCTTGGGGGGTTGCGAAGTGTGAAATTGCCCCCACGTTCGAGCGTTGGCGTCGCGCTTGCGCGCGCTTGGTGCCCGCACGAAGAGGTGCAGGGAGGAAGCGGGGAGGCTGGCGGGCGAGCTAGGCCTTGACCGTTCCTTACACTCGCAACGGGAGTTGTTAGTGCCCGAGGCGTTGCCGCAACGCGGAGCGTTGGCCGCGCAGGCGTTGAGCATTTCGGCATGGAGAAGCGCGACATGTCATTGCCTGGTTGCGTATCCGCCTATGTAACCTTACCTTGCCCATGTTATAGAATCTCGCTGCTTCTGCCGAGGTGGTCGTTTTTCCACCCCGATGTGTTTATGTTGCTTCCCCTTCCCAGGACAATGCCTGCTTTGGCGAGTCGGCCACGTACACTCCGCACGATGTAGATACCGCCGCGCACAGTATCTTGAATTGTTGCTGTCACACGATGGCCCGCGCACCTTATATCATCCGTTGGTGACGATGTGTTGGGTACGTCGCAGGGTAATTTCCCGGCCGCCCCGTATTCCGTTTCCTTGTGTCCTCGGTTTGTGCCCCCAAATGCGTTTCCGTGTTCCCCATCTTTCGTTGCCCGTTCTCCTTGATACGTTTCTTGGTTATCCTCCGTCCCCCGTTCCACATTTGCTTTTTTCCTCTCCCCCTCCATCCTCCCCGCTGCGCCATGTGCCTTCATTCCTTCACGCCTCCTTCTCTCCGCTCCCGCCATGCGTTTCCACACCCCTCGTCTCTCATCCGAATCGCTCTTACACTCGTTCCCCCCTCCCCCCGCCCCCCTCACCCAGCATCGCGCTCCACTGTGCGATGGGACGCCCAGCTTGAAAGAAACATCACCCAAACAAACAGAATTCACCCAGATTGTTGACGCTTCGCGGATCCCCACCAGCCCATCCAGAAACGATGCCCAGAGGAATTGCCTCGACCAGGGAAGTGGGCAGCACACAGAGAGGAAGCCAGTATGAGACATCTTGGGATAGATTGAGCCATCTTGGAGGTCATCTTGGGCTCCCCCAGGCGCTCTTGGAGTCATCTTAACCAATGCCCCCCAGAGGCCAACAGGTGGCTAAAACTTTCGTAGAATCAATGATTTGGCATTTTCGCCGAGGCCTCTTGGAGCACCTTGGGTGCCTCTTGGGGGTCGCTTGGGGGCCCCTTGGGGCTTCCTGGCCACCTCTTGGGGCACCTTGGGAGCCTTGGGGGCCATTGTTGGGCCATCTTGGGTGAGATCGATCACAGGAGGGGGGTACTAATTACAGTCCCTCCCCCAGGAGGCCACAATGGGGCCGAAGCCCTAGTAAAACCTATGAAGTTGGTTTCCTCGCCGAGGCCGTGTTGGACGCTCCGACGATTCGGGGAACCCCTTTGCCCAGGTCCAGGGGAGGGGGTAGGGAGGGGTCAACCCCTCCCCGAAGTGGAAGAGGGAGGGGTGAAAAAGGAAACTCCCTAAACCACCTACGCCCAGAGGGCTGGTGGGATTCCGTTTGTTTAGTTGTCCGTTCTTATTGTTCTCTTGTTCCTGCTCATGGTTCCCCTCCGCCTCGCGTTCCACATCCTTTTC